GCGTGCACACACACACACACACACACACACACACACACACACACACAGAGCCAATTTCTGCAGTTTTCCATGTTGTTCTGGGGAGAATTCTCATGTTCTGGTATCTCTATAAATGATTCAGGGATGCCATAAAGAATGGAATTCAGAAATAAGTCTGGAGATTCTCCAAAACACTAAAGTTATAAATTCCATTCAACCCAGCTGTTCACCTGTTCAGTAAAACAGTACCTCAGTTCACAAACTCAATTCGTTCTGTGATTCTGGAGAAGACGGTCAGGTTTGTGTGTTCATAAACAGAAGTAAAACATTGCCAAATGCATCTGTTTGCAAACTAAGTTGTTTTCAAACAGAAGTGTTTGTGGACCGAGGTAGTTCCGTGTCTTCCTGAAACAGTGAAAGCTATAACATTACCTGGAGCCTGTACACCTGTGATGGCAGCAGTTCAACTCAGGACAGCTAAATCTTGAAAGCAGCCCTGCATGTCCACCCACAGATGAATGGATAAAGACAGTGTGGTATTTACACACAGTGGAATACTGCTCTCCCATAAAAAGAGGTACACTTGAGTTGTTCGTAGGAAAATGGACACACCTTGAGACCATAACGATAAGTGAAACAAAACAGACATACAAGCTTAAATATTGCATGATTTCTGCAATATGAAACACGAAGACAAAAATGTACAACAGGTAATAGGAAGTAGGGAGACAGGTCTTCTTCCTCAGAAGGGAAGGGGGTTGGGAGATTGAGGGTGCCCAAGAAAGGAATTAAGATGTGTTATGTTCATATACTATTGCCATATAAAGAAAGTCAACATTATGGACTAATAAAATATTAAATGATAAAAAATACAGAAGCTGGCCAGTAGATCTTGGGTAAGCACCAAAATTTTAATTTTCCGCCCCATTCCCAGTGGATGCTACTGTGCCTGGGTATGGACCACACAGAAGAGATCAGGACTGCAGAGACAGGGTGCTAGCATGCCAGGCTGCCTTGAGATCTTATCATGTGCTATTTGCGTGAGCACTTTATTATTTGTTGGGTCCTGGTTTTATCACTTAGAAATCAACAGAATTGGAGAGACTGACCTTTAAGATCTTTTCTGATGTTGCTATTTGTGTTACTCAATTCTAAATTCTTATTAAATCTAGTCCACCCTAGAACTCCACCTAAGGGCAAAGAACAAAGCACATCTCAAGTTTATTGTAAAACAGTGGTGATTGCACTGAATGAAACACAAAGCAGAGAGGTATGTTTTTCCATGACTAGATCTCTGCTGACTTACCCACTTTCTCATAGCTGGGACAAAATAGCCAACACACAGACCACTGAGGAGGAGAAGTTGATTTTAGCTGAGGTTTTTAGAGGACTTGGTCCATGTAAGTCTGGCTCAAAGGTAGTAAGGTGTGATAGAAGGGTCTGGAGTGGGACAGATGCTCATATCATGGCAGAGGGAGGGACCAGGGAGAGAGATAAGCCCTTCCGGATCACGTCCTCAGTTAATTCTTTCTGTATAAGGTCCCAACTCCCAACAGCACGTCTAGCAATAGATTCTTCTGTAGATTAATTTACAGATGTGTGCAGTGCCCTCCAGATGACAATCCAATCATCTTCCAAAAGCCCTAGCTCTGATCACATAAAGCTTTGGGGGGACATCCACATCTAAACCATAACACTTGTCTGCAACATGGTTCCATGTATGGCTCTCATTTCTGGAAAGAAGACTTACAAATAGTCCACATGCAAATGCAAATGTGTCCAACATCATTAATCATCAGAGAAATGTTAATTAGAACTACAATGAAGTATCACAACCTGCCAGTTGTAAGAGCTACTCTCAAAACAGTGAAACAGAAGGGCTGATAAGCGTGTGCAAAAATGAGAACCCTTGTACACTGTCAGTATGAGTGGGAATTGGAGCAGTCACTGTGAAAAATCCTGTGGATCTTCCTTAAAAAGTTGAAAATAGAACTAGTATATGAAAACATGATTACTATGAGCTATGTGTATGTACAAACTCTGCAAGATAAATGGGATTATTATGTATCACAAGCCTACACTAATAAAAAGAACAAACAAAAATAGAACTATCGTATGATCCAACAATTCCATGTTTGGGTATCAATCCAAAAGAAATTGAGTGAATGTATCAAAAAATATTTACCTTCAGTGGTTGTTGGAGCCCTGCATATGGAATCAACCTAAGAATGTGTTCTTCAGTAGATGAATTAATGAAGAAAGTATCTTTGGAGTGTGTGGATATGCATGCAATGAAATACTATTCAACCTTAATAAAGAAAGAAATCTTGTCATTTTCACAAGGTGGTTGAACATACACGCATCGTAAATGTTTCTGAAGACTTGGGGTTTCAAACTTAAGCGGTTTTTAAGCCTTCCTGCCCCAGTAGTTTTTAGCTTAGGATTTTATGACTGTGTCTAGCTTTCCAGGGTGTTTCAGTCTCTTTCCAAACCCTTCCTTCCTTCCTTCCTTCCTTCCTTCCTTCCTTCCTTCCTCCCTCCCTCCTTCCTTCTTTTCTTTCTTTCTTTCTTTCTTTCTTTCTTTCTTTCTTTCTTTCTTTCTTTCCTTCTTCCTTCCTTCTTTCCTTTCTCTCTCTCTCTCTCTCTCTCTCTCTCTCTCTCTCTCTCTCTATCTCTTTCTCTCTCTCTCTTTCTCTATTGATTATATTTTTGAGGCAGGGTTTTGTTATGTACTTCAAGCTGGACCTGAACTCACTTTGTAGCCCAGGCTGGCCTTGAACTTGTGGTGATCCTCCTGCCTCAGCCTCCTAAGTCCTTCTTCCCAGGCTCTTGAATTTCCCCATCAACCTAGAAATTCCAGTAACAAAACTTTTACCAGGTGCCAGGCGAGGGTTCCAAATCATGTTCTTTCCATAACCACACATACACTTACCAGTTTCTATAACTCTATACATAGCAGACACGTTATCATATCCAATCCTTATGGGTGGAGAGGTATTTTGATCGAGAGTGCATATTTGATGTACCACATTCAGTGCAATTAAGAGATTAGCTCACATGAAATATTCTAAAGCAAACGAACTCACCAATGAGTTCTGGATCTACTTACTGAGCACTTGTTAGGAGCTTTGGTGCCTATGCTGCAGGGTGGGCCTCTCAAAAGGAGCTGACCATCTGTTAGGAAGAAGGACAGGCTCCCCAGTACCTGTAATACTGTGATAGATAATTACTATCATAAGAGAGTGGCATATATGCAGTAGGGTTTGTAGTCTGTGCCACTGGTCTCTGGAACTGTTTTTATACAAATTCTGTACTGTTTTGGTAATGATTGCTTTGCAGTACATTTCAAAGTCAGGTTATATAATGTGTCCAACTTTTTTTTTTTTTACTTATTTATTTTATCTATCTATCTATCCATTTATTTATTTATTTTGTCTTTTTGAGACAAGGTCTCATTGTGCAGTCCAGGCTGATTTTGAGCCCATTTTGTAGCCTAGGCTGATCTCAAACTTGCAGTGATCCTCCCTTCTCAGCCTCTCAAGTGCTGGAATTACCAGCAAGCTCCACCACACCTGGATGTGTGTTCTTTCTTTATTTAAGATTATTTTGCTTATTTAGAACTTTTGGCATTCCATAGGCATTATAGAGGTTTCCTTTTTATTCCTTAGGAGAACAACATTGGTATTTTGATATCAATTGCATTAAATCTGTGAGTCACGTTGGCATTTTAACAACAGAAATTCTTCCAACCCATTAATCCAGGTTTTTTTCCATTTAGTTGTGCATTTTCCGTTTCTTTTATCTATATCTTACAGGCTTTGTTCCCACAGTCTTACCTCTTTGGTTAAATTTATTTCTAAGCATTTTATTTTGATAGCAATTGTGAGTGAGATTGTTTTCTTGATTTTTATTTCAGATTGCTTGCTATTTATACCTAGAAATGCTACTTATTTTGTATGTTGACTTTGTATTCTGTAACTTTCTTGAGTAGTTTTAATTGTTTCCTTAATGGAGTCTTTAGTGGTCTGGAAGTTTGAGATCATGTGGTCTGGAAGTGGACAATTTTAACTTCTTGGTTTCAATTTGGATGACTTTCCAACGTCTTCCCCTGCCCATTACTCGGACTGACTTTCAGTCTCATGAGGAATAAGTGTGAGGAATAAACTCTTTCTGTGGAAGAGCTGGAAGGAAAAACTTGCAACTTTTTCCGCTCAGAGGAATGTTTGCCACAGACAACGGGCATGGTGGTGCACAACTGTCATCCTAGTATTTGGGAGCCTGAAGCAGGAAGATCACTAGAAGTTTGAGGCCAGGCTGGGCTACACTATGGGCTCAAGGTCAGGCTGCACTGCATACTGAAGCCCTGTCTCAAAAAGACAGAAAAATAAAGTTATCTATGGACTTGTCATATACGGCCTTTCTTGTGTACAGCTATGTTTTATCATGAGGAGACATTGGTAACACACGATCCAGAAATCTTCCTAGTGGATATGTTTTTAAGGAAATGAAATTAGTGTGTCAAAGAGTCATCAACACTTTATGTTCATGGCATTCCTCTTCCACGTAGCCAAGACATGGAATCAACATATGTGTTCATCAAGTGTTAAATGGATACAGAAAATATGCAACAATTATGACTATTTGGCCAGACAATGGATGCAGTTCTATAATTTTCAACAACATGGATAGAATCTACAAGACAGCCCCAGAAAGGTAAGAATTGTTGCATGCTCCAACTGATATGTGGAATCCATAAAAGTAGATTTCAAAAAAGTTGTAAGTAGCTAGCAGAAGTTGGGAAAGTTAGAGGGGTTTACTAGTGTTGGTTGGAGAAGGTAGGTGGGGATACTGATCAGAGAGATACAATGTTACAGTTAGGAGGAATAAATTCTGGTGTTTTTTTTGCATTTTAGTAAAATAGGGTAACTGTAGTTAACAATGATGGATTATACATTTCAAAATATCTAGAAACAAAGATATTGAAAATTCTTATCACAAAGAGACGATAGACATTCACAAGATAAGTGAGGAAAGGTTTATTTTGGCTCATAGTTGATAGAAGCTTAGGCTGGCTCCAAGGCAGGGCAGCATGGCAGAAGGGAAACAGTTCATGGCATGATGGGTAGGAAGCAGAGAGTGATCAAGGAGGGAGGAGGACGGGTGATGGACAGGTCCAGGCCACACCTGCAGTAACCACCTCCTCCAATCAGGTTCCACTCTCCAGATCTGGACTAATCCAGTGAGAGTGCCTCACCCCCATGATCCAATCGCTTCCCCAAAGCCCCACCAATGAGCGAATGAGGCTTTGGGGGACATCTAGATAGAGTACAATTATATGGCAATCACAAATACAATAAATTTTGAAGATACAATAGAGTTCATAGGGAGAAGAATTTCATTTCATAAACTTTAATTTTTTTTTTAATTTTCAGGCAGGGTCCTACTAAATTACTAAATTGCCCAGGCTGAGCTCAACTTGCAGTCCTCCTGCCTCAGCCTCTCCCAGTGCTGAAATTACACATGCACTCTGCCATTATGGACACTTTTATGTGTAGGTTGTAGGAGATGGATGGTCTCTAGATGGTAGGAGATAGATGATCTGGGAAAACTTTAAAAATGGGTCACATCTTCTAGTACCAGACATATTGGAACATGTCTGTAATACCAGCTACTTAGAAGATGGGGACAGGAAAATCACAAGCTCAGGGCCAGCCTGGGAAACTTAGCAAGACCCTAGTCTCAAAAACAAACAAATAAACAAACAAACAAAACTGTACATAAAAATGTCACTTAGTGGCAAAGATGTTCCAAAGGGACTTTTTAAAAGATTAATAATTATAGCAACTATGTATTACGTTTATATGAAGTGCTTTCTAAATGCTGTTCTTTGCTTCCATTGACAGCCTCTGCAGACACATCTGGGAGCCCTGATTGAGCAGAGCAGGAAATGAGGTTTAAGAAGCAGGGTTACATAACACTCAATCTACTGCTAAATAGGTCTTGTGCTTAATTGCAAGGTCTGCTCACTACACACCAACAAACACAGAGCTCTGAATCTTTCAAATACTTTTTTCTTATCCAGAAGGTTTGAAGAGTCAGTATATAAATTCTAAACGTTGGTTCTTAATTTTACTTTCATGGCAGTACAATAGGTAAGAGCTGTCCTCTGAAGTCTGAATAGCTTTTTCTTTGGCCAGCCCACGGTTAAAGCCAAATTTACCTTTCTCCCAAGCAATTCTCAGACTTGTTCAGTGTGGAGAGAGACAGCTAAATGCCTCTCTCGCTACCTTTTCCTATCTGACAAATCGAGTTTCCTATAAAAAGGAGAAAAAAAACCCTAATCATGATTCATCCACAGTTGCTATTCTCGTCTTCACTTTCTGCAGAGCTTTGGTTTCTTTGATCCTTCTCACTCTTTTTCTGACTCTGCATGAAAACCCAGCCCGAATCCTTTATGGGCTGAATAATGTCCCTGGGAGGCTCAACCTCAGCTCCGCCTCTGTGACTCCAATAAAGCTCTTTCATTTGTGAAAGACACAGCTCTGGGTTTTGATACGGCGGCAGCAAGTGGACTGATACAGTCAGGTAAACAGTGTCCCTGTGTATTTCAAATATGCAAGAGACAAAAACCGCGCAACTCTGACACGTTTACTTAAATTTCAGGCTCCGGAATTCTCCTTTCTTTCTCTATTGTGTTAGCTCATGTTTGCAATACATGTTTCCATGACTCATGTGGAGTTGATGCACGGATGTAGGACATTGTCATTCCCTTTTCCTTCTTTCTCTCCTCCCCCCTCCATCTCTTGATCACCTTTCCCATTTGAGAAAGATCTATTTTCCTACTTTCTGTTATTTATCTTGCATTTGCTCTTTATCTATACTTTGAGTCTCTTATATAAGAGAAATCATGTGATCTTTAAACCTCTGTGCCCAGAGCTTCACATTATGGTCTCCAAGTGCATCCATTTTCCTAAAAATACCTCAAGTCTATTTCTTCTTTATGGCAGAGTAGTACTCCATTGCATATAAATCCATTTTCCTTATCCATGCATCTATTAATGTGCATACAGGTTGCTTACGAGATTTAACTATTATGAACTGTGCTGTTGTAAACATGGGTGTGCATTGGTCTCTATAATATGATGTGTTCAGAAGATACCTAGGAAGGAGATAGCTGGGTCAACTGCAATGTCTAGTTACAGCTTTTTGAGGACTCTCCATTCTGAATTCCATTGAGGTTGCACTAGTTTACCTTCCCATCAACAATGCAGAGAGGCTCCTTTTACCCCAGTGTCTCCAGGCTTTGCTGTTATGGATTTCTTGATGATGGCCTTTTTAAGGACCTGATCAAACCATTCTCTGATGGCCTGTCCTGGAGTTCTCTTTCTGCTTCTGGTGAGAAGGCAACCAGGATGACACATGAACAGTTGCAAGGTCACAAGAAGGTTAAGCAGCATGTCCAAGTCGGGAGGGGCATCTTACTTTACAAAGTGATAACTGTTACATGGGAAAAATACAGGTTTGTAGTCAAGTATGTGATCTTAGCGTCATGTTACTAGCTTGTAACTTTAGGACAGTTTAGTGGACTTTTCTGAAATTCACTATATTTGTCTGTTTATCAGATAAAGATAAAAATTGTGCATGATTTAAAGGCAAAGCTGAGAAGTTAACTTGTAAAGCTTTGAATATCAGAGCATGTTCAGGAACTGCAGAAGGCTTTGGGGCTTCAGGGTGGCAGGGATTGTCTATGGGGCCAGGTTCCCCTTCATGTTTTTATCTTTTCTTTGTCTGTGGTCTTCTGATTTGGTAGGATCCATTCTATTGGCAGCTTGGCTGGCAAGGCTTCTGCTGGGAGCCAGAGATCAGATTCTGAGAGCTGAGTCCAGAATGTGCAGGCCTGGGGTGTGTGGGAGGGTCTGGCTCTGAGCGGGGCAGGCGCCCATGAGCAAGGGCTGCTGATGTCAACGCAGGAGACCATGGGAGATGTCTTAGTTACTTTCCTCTTGTTACTGAGGCAAAAATACCTGACACTCAAAGTTAAAGGAGGAAAGGGTTATGTAGCACACAGTTTGCAGAGGTTTCAGCCCATAATCAGCTGGCTCCCAGCAGGGTGGTGCATGGCAGAAGGGCAGCTTTTCATGGTGGTGGAAAACTGTAAAAGGAACAAGAAATAGAGAGAGGGAGAGACAAGCCTTCTTCTGTCCCCTGTATTGTATGCAGGCCATGCCCTCAGGTGGGTGAGCACTCATTCCCTTAATCCCAGCTTTGGAGCATGAATCAATCACAAAGTCAGATTTAATGGTTTCCAAAAGGCCTGCCCTTGTGACCTCATGAGGCACTGGGGGGACATCCAGATGCAAACCTTAACAGGACAGTCTGAATTTCAAGAGGGCAGACTGGGAAGGGCAAGCCAGTGAGAAAACCCCAAGCAAAAGAATACACGAGAGTGCTTATGGCATTAAAGATGTGTTATTTGTACATCCGTTTCCTTCACTCACAGACCCCGTAACACTCAGTGACCCCCTTCTTCCCTTCCTCCCATTTGGCCTGTGATCCCCAACCCTACACCCTGTTCTCATCAGGAAAACATTCAATAGGACTTTAAAACCCTGTTCCTCTCGGGGCAGGAACCAACCAGCAGTGTGTCCTGCTAGGAACAGGGCAGCGATCCTGGCCAAATCTGCGCCTAAGATAGGGGTAGGAAAGGGTGACCTCAGGCAGGGCCAGGAATCTTTGAAAACACATTTCAGTGGACTTAAGGAGGATTTAGAAAGAAATAAAAAGGGAAAACAAGAGATCAAACTGACTTAAGGGCAAGGAACAGCAATGCTGTTCTGGGACCCATGCTTTGCAAGAGGAAGTTGCAAATTAAATGTGAATGAGACAGAATTAAAAAGTGATTTATTTTTTTGGTCCCGTTGCAAGTACTTTGACTTAGAATGTTTCTGTCTTGCTATATTTGGATAAATACAAGCAGATGTGTCAGAGATAAGTCGGATAAAACAGGAGCCGGATCTCATTTTGAGATGAGTCATTTTTCTCTTGATTATATCTGATCTTCATGCTTGTGGGCTGGCTGAGGCCTCAGCTACAGGATGCTGGGTGGGGTGCTCCCTGATTTTCTCTGTTGTTTTTGTGGAGTTTTTAAGTTTTTGCAAGGGCATCTCTGAAATTAAATGGGGCAAGGTTTGCAAGTTCCTCCACGTTCAGTTCAACCAGAGGGGCTCCACTTAATGTTTCTAAAATAGATTTTTGCATACAATTTCTTTAAGTAAAGGATTTTTTAAAAAAAGCAATTCTCCTAATAGGTTCTAGAAAGTTTTCTCCCATAGAACTCTTTGTCAGGGTGAAGACACTTTCTGCTGTCCAGTGCTGTGACCACCTGACACATGTGACTAGTGATTGTTCGGTTAGAAAGTCCAGTTCTTGCCCTGCACCCGCACTTTGGTACTGGGAATCGAACTCAGGGCCTTGGGTTTGCCAGGCAGGCTCTGAGAAAGCCAGTTCTAAAGAAGGATGATGGGAACACTGGTTGTGCCTCATGCCTGTGAGAAGTGAATAAGGTAAGGAGATGTGGACCAGCACCTTGTTTAGAGAAGGAATGCAAATATCTCAGTTGGACTGGACCAAGGAATGGCTGAGTGTGGAAAGCTGGCCAGTGTGGGGGGAACTGCATGGCTAAAAGACAGATCATGATGGCGATAAAGCTGTGAGCTTTTGGAGAAGAAGCTGATAGAACTCACCTTTTCCAGTACACAAGATGATGACTTTGTGAGGTGCTCAGGGCCCACGGCCCCTCCTGCATATTCCTGGAGGTGCGACAGTCGCCCTCTCGCTCTCTGAGGGGTGGAGGAAGCTCTCTGTGCTTGGGTCCAGGTGAGTTTCTGGCGATGACAGAAGTGCGTTGAGTATCTTTGGATTGCGGATTGCCAAACTCTATGTGGCTGCTTCTGCTGGGCTTCCCTGGGATGGTTTGTCTTGAACTTCAGCTGCTCTGCAGAAAGGAAGTTGAAAATTGCTGCAGAGAAAGACACACAAGGTCACACGGGGACCCCAGGGGAGCACCACACTGGGGTCTCTGCCAAACCACACCCTGCTGAGAGATATCCGGTCAGAGGTCCCCCCAGGTGACCCTGGTCATTTGCCAAGGACTCACAACCCCCCACACCCATTCCAGTCCTCCTGCCGGAAGCCTGGCTCCCGGCACCCAGCAGCAGCTATGCAGCAGGACTAGTGGATCCATTTTGCCCATTTTCCCACTGACTAGGACACATGGAAGGCAGATTTCTGGTACAGGTCATCTAACTGGTCCTAAGATCATGCTGTGGGAGGAAGAGTCAGGAGCCACCAGGGCAGGAGTGTGCAGGGAAGGGGGAGAAGCAGAATTTGGGGGAGGGACACCCCCCGCCCTCTTCTCAGTATGGGGAAAAGAGTGGGCAAGTAGGCAGGAGAAAGGAAAAGATACTCTTTCTCAGGTTGGCTGAGCACTGAGACTGAGGGGAGGCACAGAGCTCCGGGATTTTACCCGGTGGAGTCTGTGTCATCTCAAACCTCTGGGTCTCAGGATTTTCCTAGCTGTAAAATGGGTTTCATGACACACAAACCCACAATGTGGGGTGGTGATGTGTACATGTGGAGGTCCTGTGCATGCCCACAAGTCACTCTTCATGGACCTCAAGAGCATGACCACTGCTTCTTACAGAGGTTGCAGGAGGAATGTTTAAACTTTTACTGACATGCAGATGAGGCTTTGCACAGCTTGTAAACTACTGTATGTGTGTTGGGGGGCGCGGTAAGGGCAGGGCTGAGACATGGGATTGAGGCCAAGGTCTTTGCACGGGGCTCTACCTCCAGCTGTTTTTATTTTTACTTATTTATTTATTTATTTATTTATTTATTTATTTATTTATTGTTTGAGACATGATCTTGCTAAGTTACTAAGCTGCCCAGGCTGAGTTTGAATTTGTGATCCTCCTGCCTCAGCCTTCCGGAGCACCGAGGTTACAAGTGTGCACCATCACGCCCAATTTTGTGAGCTTTTACAGTGCCTCAGTATCTCCCGTAGCCTAGGATGAAATAAATAGCTAAAGACAAGGATGGGGTCTACACTTCCAACCTGACGTTATAAAAATCCCACTCCCTTTGATTTACCATGGAATCAACTTTGAAAATTCAGAGGAAATCAAAGAGAACTGAACAGTTAACTGTGTTGTCTGGCCTGATGGTCCCTGCGAGTGATAAAATGGAAACAAAAGCAGTTTGTTAACGTGACTGCAGTGGGTTTGTTCCTCCTACGGCGTGATTCACAGAATTCCTGAGCCGAGTAATCTGGGAGAATAGAAATGTGAGCTTTTTGTTTATTACTCATATGTGTATGAACAAAACAAAACTATGTATAACGCGTTCCTTCTGCACTGGGTGGGGACAGTGTCCAGGCTTTCATTCTCACTGGTTTTAAACGGTTGTCTTTGAAGACGCTTCAGTTTCCCGAGCGGTGCACCCAGGCATGTGTGGGAGGCCTCCCCACACCCCGAGACTCCAGTAAGCAGGGGCCTGTGTCGGCCACACACGTGGGTGGTGACTCAGTTCTTAGTTCGGGGAGAAATAGCGGGGCAGAAAATATGAGAGGCATTTTAGCAAATCGTGGAACTTGAATCTTGCATTTGTAACAAGCCAGGGACAGTGTAACAACATCAGTTATTGTCACACTGCCTTGGACTCGGGAACACTTGGTTATGGTACAAAGTGCTAGACCCAGACAGGCAGTTCGCAGCAGACTCCGTAGTCATTTTGTGAAAAGCTGAATTCTCCAGCAGTCAGTGATAGCAAGATCAACGCTGATTTTTTCCCTGCTCTTTAAATCTTTTTGGGCTTCCTGTGAGATCGCTTTTATCTAGGATTTCTGCAGTGACTTTAGAAATCAGGACATAAAAATGGTACCATTCAGGGTGAAGAGAAGCCACTTGATAATATTTGCAAGATATTTAAAAAGCAAAACATATTCTTCCAAATTGCTGGTATTCTTGTGACATCGGTAACTTTATGAAGTTCCAGTGGAAGGAAAGGAAAAAAATGTAATTCACTTTTGGTGCTTGGTATATTCTTTTTGAACTTCACTGACTCAGCTTTCATTTTATTATGAAAGGTAGTAGAGGTGACGTTTTTTCTACCCTGCACTTGATAAACTGATTTTGTAATTGCGTTTTCTCCCATTTGAGCACAACGCCTGGTTGGGGACTATTTGAAGCCACCACAAAATGACAAGGCAGAAGTCAACGGTCGCAGGGTCCTACATGTCAACTATATTTATAGTTTTGGAAAAGGCTGAGTCACCCAGCTCAGCAGGAAATGCTGGGGGCCCAGGACCTAGTGATGAATTTCTATTTGCCTCTGTGTTAGCCTGAGAAAAAGCAGATTTTACTATTAGACCCAGATCTCTGTGAAAATATGAGATGTGATAAAAAAAAATATGGTGAAGGCTTACCTTCGAAAAATTTAACACTTTGCTGCATTTCCACGATCCGCTTCACTTTGGACACACTCATCCCATCGTCCTGGCTGCTTCCCGCAGCAGCTCTGGAGTCCTCTGTCCTGAGGGTCTTCAGTGCGCTGTCCTGGCTGCCTCCAGGTCCTGAATGGATCCAAAGTCTTTTTCTTTCATGGTCACTGTGACTCTGAGGAAGGGCCAGAAGTTACACCATGCCAGACCCAGTGACTGAGGTAAGGACACAGTGTCATGTTTTATGAGCTGCCTTTCTGATGGGTGTGATCATATTTTTGATCACATCTGGTAAAGACATGCAGGAAAGAGGACTCCAAAATCGCTTCAGAGAGCTGCAAGGACTACTGTTCAGCTGAGTTCAAAATGAGGGAGAAGACTGAGAGGGTGATTCATGGCAACGTGCATTTTATTGTAATGAAGTTTTGAACATTTAAGCATTCACTGGATTTTTGGATCATACCTCCCACATTTAAATGCAGCCAGTGAAACATCCACAAAATCTTCTCCAATTTCCCCCTCGTTGTACAATTTGAAGATTCCCCTTTTACTTTTGTGTAATTTCAGCTCCAAAACCCCAAAGGCTGCAATTACGAAGGAGGGGTAATAAAGTGTCTAATGTGTGCTACCCAAAGAAAATCGGACGTGTTAATTTTCATGGAGGATCTCCAGTGAATTTCCCGAGAAATTCCATTTCCTAGCACCTTTTCAGCTCAAAGCAATTTTCAGCTTGGGGATTTTCAGCTGGTACAATCAATTACCGGCAAGCTTCACAGCCATTTTTCAATAGAAAGTTCACTGCGGGCTCACCTGCAGCGGTTTGCAGGGACCGCGCTGCCTTTCTGGGAAAGTAATTCTGCATTGCCGGGTTTGGCATGATGACCTTGGGCTCACTGACTAATAGTTTTGGCACCTTTAGAGCTGCCTCCTTCTCTGCCTGTGCTCCATTTCCTGTGCAGGCTTTCCTTTCTTTCTTTCTTTCTTTCTTTCTTTCTTTCTTTCTTTCTTTCTTTCTTTCTTTTTTAAGAGAAAAAAAAAAAGCAGAAAAAGGTAGAAATAGTACAGAATTAAAAAGAAAAAACATACAGAAAGAAATCACTAGTTTACAAAAGGTGCTTGTGCAAAGGTTTTCTCTTCTCCTGTACCGTGTGCTTCTTGTTGGAAAAAGTATATCTCCTATTTAGTTATATTCCTGCAAGATTCTATCTGGCATTTCCCTAAATGCAACAAAATTTAGGTTTTTAGAACATGAAATCTTTGCAAGTTCAGTCTTGCATAGTTCTTCAGTCTATGCCTGAATTTTGGGAGGTCTCTGGGGAGGCATAAATAGCAATGATAAATGTTTTCACTTCTAGGTTTTCATAAGTGCACGACACACACACACACACACACACATACACACACACACAGTCTATGTCAAGCCAGGTGTGGTGGCACATGCTTGTAAGCCCAGCACTCTGGAGGCTGATGCAGGAGGGTAGAAAGGTGGGGCTCTGCACAGGCAACTGAATGCCTTAGCTAGACCCTTACTCAAAATAAAAACTAAGAAAGGGCTGGGGATGTACCTCAGTGCCGAGTCCACCCCCAGAGCTGGGTCCTTCAGAGGGGACTGATTCTTGTTCTTGTCCCTGGCTGTCCCCATCCTTCCTTCTCTTCCTTTTCTTTTGTCTCCTCCTTTCTTCCTTCTTCCTCTCCTCTTCTTCCTTCTGCTCCTTCTCCACTCTGTGGCTCCTCTCTCTCCTTCTTTCTCTCCTTCCTTTCCTCCCCCTCCCTGTCTGTCTCTGACTCCTTTCTGGATACCACAAGTGGAATCTTCCACCACATGCTTCTGCCATCTCAGCCCCACCTTACAGCTAGCTGACCATGGACCGAACCTCTGAAATCATGAGCCCAAACAGGTCCCCTCCTTTAAAGCATGGGTGTCTAGCACTGTGAAAGTGATCAGTACAGGTGGGGAGGAGAACACTGGGCTTCCTGCTACTGGGTGTCACCTAACAGCTGATCCGTGTTAGTGAGGATGGCATGGCCCAGAGAGCTGTGCCCAGCTTTCTCGAGCACGCTCTTCACTAGGACATTCATAAGGGATGAGTTGTGTATTCAGGCTGTGACCATGTGGAAAGAGGAAGGTGAGGAATTCTATATTCTCTGCTCAATTTTGCCTGGAATTTCAAACTAAAATAAAGTCTATTTCAAGAAAAAGAAGATTTTGACCGAGATTCATGGCAATGCTTCCTTTACTGTAAAATAATTTTTTATACTTAACATTCTTTGTATTTGACTCATACATTGTCACTTAAGGGATGACTGGGAAGCACCTTCCCACTGCATTCTGCCCTCATCCCTGTCAGTGTCACAGTCCAGGACACCCAAGTTTGCAGAGTAGAACTGGCATACTGGGGGAGGCACTGATGCCAGGGGCCTGTTCAGCTTTCCTGCCTGCGGTGAGATCTTCTAAGGGGGATCAGAGGTAGGCCTATCCTATTCTGAGTCTGCGTGACATGGGAAAGTGCCAGAGAAATTAACACTTTCTCCTGAGGTCACACCGCTCTGTGTGCTCTGTGTCACCTGACACCAGCCTTTGTGTTCTTCTTAGACCTCTTGAGACTCCCACCCAGTCCCAAGCTGGACCTTACCTTTCTGTGTTGGGAGATCAGGTCAGGAGTAGCTGATCTTAGAGAGAGGGCCTCAATAATGCTAGCACAATCAAGATCACAGACGTGAGCTATTATTTTTTCATCCTTTTCTCTTTTTTTGGGAAATATCAACTTCACCTTGCTAGTTTTCCTTTCCACCACTATCTAAGGAATCAATGTTTCAAACCCTGTCTCAGAGAAATGAACATAAATCATTTATTATGACTTGGCAGATAACTCCTAGCAGTGATTTTTCTCTTTTTCTCTATCCTGCCTCATCCACACACCCAGGGCCCAGTGTTCTTGTCTGGAGAAAAAGCTTGGTGGTGTTGCACACCCATAATCCCAGCACTTGGGAAGCTGAGGCAGGAGGATCACTGTGAGTTTAAGGCCATTCTGGGCTACATAGTGAGTTCAAGACCAATTCAAGCTACACAATGAGATCATGTGTCAAAAGACAAAACAAAACAAATGGAACAAAATGAAACTAGAAGTGTCCAACTCCACAAAGTAAAGACCTCTGCTGTGGTGGTGACTTGTCCCGCTCTCTACATGGAAATAAACTGGACCAAGTCACTGATGATATGGGGAGGGGCAGGCTCTGGCATCGCAGTCAGACTGGGTGGGGCACGTGCAGAAATCACTGCACCCCCCCCCCCGGAAGATCCCCGTGGAAAGCGGTGGGAGGATAGTTTTGGTTGGGTGGTCTGGGAAGAGGGAAGGAGCACACAGGACATTGAACACTGCCTTACAGTGCATTACTGTGACTGTTTTAGAAGGAGGCCATTCAAATGGGGGGGGGGTATTTGTATTGCATGTGGATGAAAAAAGCAGAAATCTTTTTACTTGACCAAGCACTCTGTTGTCAGGGGCACCTGGCTTCCCCAAGAACTTCAGATTTCTCTCCCCTCTCCACCCCGGTGCACTATCTGGCGATGGCTATATCCTGGCTCCATTCAGTTTGTGCAACATTTCTACCTCCCGTCTCCACCATTTTTGTCCTTCTAAGGATTAAGTCCAGGATCTTCACACTGAGTTGCATCTCCAGCCCGTTTTATGCTTTTCATTTGGAGACAGGGTGTCAGTAAGCAGCCAAGTCGCCGAGGTTGGGCTTGAACTGATGCTCCTGCCTCAGCCTCCCAGAGTGCTGGCCTCACTGGTATCCACCACCCTGCTCAACTGCCGCACTTTCAGTGTCTTTTTCACAGTAAACTACTAAAGTGGCATAAGGTATCTTTTCTGGGCTCTGAGAGCCTCCAATCTGGTAGTTCAGGACAAGAAGTAAGGTCAAAATTTACCTTAACAATAAAATTACCTTAATAAGGACAAAATAGTGAAGTTGCCTAAAAAAGAAAAAGGGTCACAGAAACCACCACATACTGCAAACTTCTGTATACTGAGGTCTTTATACAGGTTGTCCTATTTAAAGCTCACTCTACCCATGATTATACAGATACCACCCCCAAAGCCCAGTGTACTCGTAGGCAGAAGAGGACTGGACTATGGGTCAATGTGCTCCTGGAAGCTGAGCCTTGGTCAGCAGAGGCAGCCCCTGGGGAGTGATCACAAGGGTTTATTCCCTCCCTGGCTTTTCTCTTCTGTTTCTGCTTCCTTCTGCCCAACCCTTCCACCTGGACCTTCTTTGAAGTCAGCCAGCCATGGACCGAACCTTTGGAAATGTGAGTCAGAAATAAACCTCCCTTTCTTCAAATTACGAGTGTCGACTATTCTGTCCCCGTAACCAGGAATATAACTGAGACAACCCAGCAAAGGAAGCACTGTTGCCCCTCTTCCCAGAAGAAGGAAATGAGAATGCAGAGATGCAGTGCGACTTACCCAGAGTGACACAGGAGCTACTTGAACCGAGTCATTCATGCTGAGATAAGACCGAAGCAATGCTAGGTGGAAAGGGGACAGGGACATTGTAATTTAAAAACTCCTGCTTTTCAGAAAACTGCAGTTTCAGTATATAAAGTTACCCAAAATTACAAAACCTGTTTTCTTACTCCTGCAGGAAACCCACTCCAAAACATTCTTAAGGTTCTTCAAGGCACAATGGACTGTAAATTCAGGCCGATGCCTTTCCTCTGATACTATACAAGGTTCCCCAAATATAAGACTTAGAGGGTAAATAATCAGCCTTAAAATTAGAAGTCAGAAATGCCAGCCCCAGTCAGCCTGCCCTGGCCTTCTGAAAATTTCTTTTTCTGCCTAGTAAACCTGATGAAAGTTTTCACTGCGGAGTCCTGCAATGTTCTCCATGCCCACTGAAGAACCTACCCCACGGGTGGAGATGAGTTGAAGCCCCCCATCTCCTCTTTGGCGGTATCTTCTCGAACCCTCATCTGGTGACAGCATTGCTTCCAACAGTGAGCGCCGAGATTCAGGGAATGACACAGCGGTTACGTGTGTAGTGGCGGGGACTGAAAGTAGAACAGGAAAACCCAAACTGAACACAGGTAGAAGAAGACTGGACCGGCGAGGAGGCTGGGGCTGGACGGTGGACAGCAGCCATTGAACAAAGAAAGGCCTCGGCAGGGGACTTTTTCTCTAGAAAAAGCATAGTTTTGTATGTGGAGGGGCAAATGCAGGAGACTAAATGCTTGGAAAAAGTAGCAAAGAATCCACGAGACTGGGTCCACGGGATCGCACTGGGGCCACGCTGGACTGTGGCTGCTGACCTTCCCC